CCCCCCCCCTTCTCACACCGGTAGTGTACACACCATATGTTTTGAACGCTCTCTCACTTGGATTTTGGCATGCGCACGTACCCGTAGTCAAGCCTTCCCACGAGTTGCGAGTTTCAGCTCTCGGGCTCTCGTAGCTATCGATCCGGAAAGTTACAGCGTTCCCAGGTGGATGGTTTCTTTTTTGCTCTCAAACGAGAAATCGACGGCCAGTTTGAGTTACTACCAGCAAACTGGTGACGTTTTAGAGAAATTCGTGTACGTCAGAACTGTGGAACCAATTGCGCGGTTTGTTCGCCTGAACGATATATATATATATATATATATATATATATATATATTTAATGGATCCGCAGAGATCCAGCGAAACATCTGGACCTTTCTTTCTTTGCCAAGCTACGAATCATGCATACGCTTCATTCCATTTGTTTAGAAGCCGTCCAAACCGAACGTGACGCTGCTTCTGTCCGCGAATGTGTGACGTGAGAGTTCATTGAGCGCTCTGGCGGAACGAGGGTAACAACGGCCTTAATACACTAAGGTTTGGCCCGCGCAAACGTAGAGCTAATAGGCAAACTATTAATTGTTATCGACCATTAATGTAATTTCGTCGTCGTGAAGTGCACTCGGTACCAAATGCGGTGAGCGAAGCCTCCGCTCTGTAAGTCGAATTACTTCTCCTTTCCGAGAACGAGAATGCCAATTAACAGAAACTAATACAGTATTATCTCAGTCGTTTAATCCTAAGACAGAATAAAACGTGATCGGAATGATAGGGTCGGTGAGATCTCGGAGGTTAGCGCGAAGCGAAGCAGGCGTACGACGCGTCTCGCTTCAAAGAGCCTTTCTCGATCATAAGTACACAGAAAAGAAATCAGTACCGATTCAAGACTCATATTTTGATACACAAGCAAGAATACGTAATCTTACATGAAAATAAAACTTGCTTCTACACGAAGAAATTCTACATATTTCCATCGCCAGAAATATATTCAAGTTGCTCAAGAATAATCTCCATGAATTAAGAGGAAGAAAAAAATATCGAAGAAAGAATGATATCTTCAAAATAACAATTGTATCAGTTAACGAGAGTGTAATATTTTTAATGGAAGTATATAGAATTCCTTCAAAACCTGTAAGCAGGTTTTATCTTCACACAAGATTATGTATGCTGAGACGATACACGAGAACACGAGTCTTGAATATCGATCCTGATTGTTTTCTGTGCGGTTAACACGGTTTCACGGTAGATTTCACTGCTTCTCATTTCTCTTTTGGTTTACTCGTGCGCGCGCGTTTGTGTGTGTGTGTGTGTGTGTGTGTGCTGGAAGAGGACCCGTTGATTCGTGCATGCGCGACCGGAATCATGGAATGTTTTACCCGGAGTATTTTCGCCGTAACGAGCTTCCATTATCAGCGACGTTTTCGAGTCTCACTTCGAGGAGCCGTTTGGTTGAAGTACGGCCGGCCACTGGACGCACATCGAGAGCTGGGTATCTATCCTAGGCACGTTTAGATGACTCCGAATTCGCCCTCTGACCGCGTCGAAGACGGCAACCACGCTCCGTCCGACGTACAATCACGCCACCGTTCACCTTTCGACACCTTCCTCCCCGTACATTCTCCACCACGTTCATCACCTTCGAGCGTCTCTCATTCTCGACGACGAGACGGCCGGAGACGAGAGCGTTTCGGGGTTTTTTTTTTTAGCACGCATTCCCGACCGTCATACCATTCTCACCTCGCGTCAGCGAGCCCTTTCCGCTAAGATCCAACGTACATATTGTGTGTTGAGTTCGTTTGCTCTTTTCGTTTGCTGACGTTTGATCTGATTTGCTAGCGTTGCTTGCGCGCGCGCGCGGACACAAGCTCGCGACAGACAGAGAGAGAGAGAGAGAGAGAGAGAAAGATAGAGAAAGAGATGGAGAGCTTGCGCCGCGTCGCGCGGTCCACAGTCGCGCGCTTGCGACCGATCTTGAGGGAATATGAATCGACCACACGCTTACCCGCTTGGCCTTGCCGTTCATTGTCCATCTCATGTCCGGCAATGCCGCGAAGCGACGCTCTGCATCTTGCGATATTTCGTTATTGCCGAATGTAACTACGTTGAGACGCTCTCTCTCTTTACTTCACTACTATATTACTACTCTACGGTCTTGATGCGTATACGTTTTTATATTTATATTATATCGAGCTCGAGCCATTAAGTAGTAAATTCGCTTCGTATCAGATCTTGGCGCATACATCACGTTCTGTACAGGGTTTTACGACATGGCGCATGCCGCGAACTCGAGGAACATGTTTCGGGTGTAAATTGAAGCAGAACATGTCCCGTAAACATGGGTCCAATTCGAAACTGCTTTCCGTCTAGAAGTGTTTAATCTTCGTGAATGATAGCTCAATTTTGTTGGAACTTCTTTTTTATTAAGGTGGAAATTGAGAATGAAAACATAGAAATTAAATGAATTATTCGAATTGACGTCCCTCGCCATTAAAATGGATTGAGCAATTATACGAGGAATATCACGATTTTCCTTAATTTGTTCACACGCTTCATGTTAATACGCTATTATTAATTCGGCTGGAATATTAACTTTCTCTTTGTATGCTGAACTTTTAATCTTAGTGTTTGCGTTCCTATTTTCCATTTTTAATGAAAAGTATTCCGGAAAATTAGGCTTTCATTTGTCAAACTTTAAACATTTGTACACGGAAAAAAATCAGTATCAAAATTCGAGATTCATATTCCCATATATAAGCAGAAATATATAATCCTGTATGAAGAGAAAACTTGCTTACACGTAGAAATTCTATATAGTTTCACTAAAAATATCATATTATTCCAGAATAATTTTCATGAATTGAGAGAAAAAAAATATTGGATAGAAAGAACAATATCTTCATACTAAGAATTATGTCAGTTTGAAAGTATCATTTTTCCTATATCTCCGATATTTTTTCCTCCCGATTCACAAAGAATATTTTTGAATTACAAGGATGATCTTTCTGGTGGAACTACATATGGAATTTCTTCATACGTAAGCAAATTTTTTCATATAAGCTAATATATTCTAGCTTATACATGAGAATACAAGTCTTAAATTTTGATATTAATTCTGTTCCATGCAGATAGACAACCGTTTCGAACTGGACCCATATTTGCAGCACATCATTTACTTCAATTTACATTAGAAACAAGTTCCTTAAGGATCGTACGGTGTGTCACGTAATGCTCTGCATATTACGTAGGACGCGGGACGATCCTGATCGTCTCGGGATCAAAGCAGCCAGCGTCGACGTTATAGTATCGTATATATAACACTGTATCGAATGTAACTTTCTCTCTGTTGCTCTTTCGGAACCGCCGAATCGTGGCGCTGGCACTGGCTGGTGTGTTCCCAATTTCTCGAATATCGATTTCGTTTGATATCACGCGCGTCTTTCTCTCTCTCTCTCTCTCTCTCTTTCTCTCGAGGACGATGCGGAGCGGTAGTCTCTCGCAGAAGAATTATTCTCGCTTATGATAGAGAAAGAGAGAACGAGAGCAGAGCGGGAACGGCATTGGCTGGCAGCCGTGGGACTGACTAACGCGCTTTTTGATATCTTCCAGAGTTGCATCGAGGCGCCGAGCTCCTGGTATTCGAGCAAGACCAACAGTCTGCGACACAGCGACTCGTCCCTGTATCCGGACTCGCTGAATCAGGAAACCTCCTCTGTCACCGGCTCCACGCGGGTGGAGTTCATGATCGGCTCGCCCACCAGGCGCTTCCGCACGAGCGCCGCGTGGCCGCATCGCTATTTCGACAGCATCGACTCGACGGTCGCCGTGCCGGAGAGCCTGCTGACCGACGAGTTCCCGCCGCGGCGCGGCGAGGCCCTGGCCGAGTGCGACTCGCTCGAGTGCCACCCGATCTCGAGCGAGGACTGAGCCGAGCGAATTCGCGCGAAAGAGCTGGGCCGGCGAGGGAGAGAGAGTCCTGTAGCGCCGCGCACTTCTTCGCTCCCGCTTCTTTCCGATGTAACCATGTCGCATTACTGGCTTCGCCCGTACGCGGCCTTATTATCGTCGAGTCGCCGATTCGTACATGCGGAAAAAAATAGCAACTCAAAACTCATATTCTCATATACAAGCAAAAATATGTAGTCTTACGTGAAGATAAAACCTTACGTGAAGAAGTTCTATATGGTTCCATTCGAAAATGTCATATTCTCGTTATTCAAGAATAATTTGAGTATGAATCGAGAGGAAAAATATTGAATAGATAGAACGATAAATCTGAAAACTAATGCAATTCTTGGCTCAAAGACATCTTTGTTTTTTTTACCCGATATCTTTCCTCTCAATTCATGAAAATTATTCTTAAATAACAAGAATATATTATTGTTTTATCTTCGTATAAGATTAGAGAGGGTGTCGCAAAGTTCACGTAAATATTTTAACAATAGATTCTTTGTAACATTCTAAGACGAAAGTTCTGATACGAAAATGTCGAGGGAGGTTATTATTTACGACAACTATTCAATATTTAACATATCTCTGTAGCTAAGTCTTAAGTTAAAATACTGCGAAATTCAAGACCGTTTGAAATTAACCACCGGAGAAAATAATTTTATTATCCATTTCGCTCGAGTCGTTCGAATCGCTTAGTTCGTGGAAAGCTCCACTTTCTCAATCGCTCGTATCTCGAAAACTATTGATGCCTCGACTCATACTTGACCTTTCGTCTTAGAATGTCAATGAGAATTTATTATTAAAATGTTTATCTTGAACTTCGAGGCACCCTTATATTCCCGTGTATATATTCTTGCTTATATATGTGCATACGAGAATCCTGAATTGATAGTAACTTTTTTCTGCGTACACGCGAACGTATGAATGACTGAATTCTAAACGCGAATTAGAAACTACGTTCGTCAGCGCAACGTTCGTTCGCACAGCGAGGGTACGCGCAACACGCTGATGAGATGGCACTCAGCATTCTCAGTGAACCGTACAGTGTGCCTTTCTAATCTCTTGAATTCTTTTAGTTTCTCTTTCTTTCTTTCTTTCTTTCTTTTTTCTTTTTTTTTTATACCAATCATCTCAGATTGAGAACGAGGGAAATCGTAATCGCGATAATGTTCATCATCGAGTCGAGATCCAACGAGACAGTTTCTCACGCGGAATTTGTTTCTTGTCGGAGAAGATTTTTCGTGGACCATTTTTCTGACGCACCACTGAGAGAGACGACGAGAGAAATAAGCCTTCGGCAGCCGCCTCATCAAAAGTGAAACTATTATATCGACTTACCTTCGAGCGGATGTACATCGACCTATAACGAATACAACCGACCGTAGTTGATAATAACAATTGCGAGAAGGTGTTAGACTTATGATAGCTTCTGACTGGCGATACTGAACCGAAGTCGAAATTTCGAAATCGTGCGATATCAATGTTTTAGCTCTAATGTCAAAACAAGATGCATCTTTGCACCCAGACCTGATCGGGAATTATTTTGCATATTTTTCCAAGAAAATCCCCCATCTTTCAGCCGTCTGAGTTTCTTGTGGAGTTATCGAGACGTATTAACTATTTAAAAAAATCGTTGGGATATTTCGCTGTTACGTCATCAGCGAGCGGACATGGTGAAAGACACGAGAGAGACACGCTTGCATTTATTCGTCTATTTATTTTTTATCTCATGACGTGTGTGTATGTGTGTGTGAGCAGGCCATTCATTTGGTTTACAACCAACGTCAAGAATGAGTTTGTCAGTCAAACTTTCCATTACTTGGTTGGTACACGTTCGGTGACGGTTTTTTTTTCTCTGTAAACTTCCTATCTTCCTCTCGTATCGATATCCGTCGTTTATATCTTCTCCGGTAAAATCTTGTAATCTCCTTTTGTCGCTCCGAATAAAAAGAAGAAGCCACGTGATCGTGCCGAATAAACTTGTCATTGCACGCGCACTCAGGCGCGCGGAGAGATCCGACCGGGCCGTTAGCTCGTAACAAGCGGAGGACACTAGATAGTTCACATTCCATACGACGTCCAAGCCAAGCAATTTTGTATTCCATCTAGCATTTTTGTACCTTCGATTTGAATCTGCGTTGTGATCGATCGTTTTCTTATTTATTACGCTGCGTGCGTGTGTATGAGTGAATGAGTGAGTGAGTGAATGAGTGAGTGAGTGAGTGAGTGAGTGAGTGAGAGAGAGAGAGAGAGAGAGAGAGAGAGAGAGAGAGAGAGAGAGAGATATGTGTTGTAATTGTGTGGATCGGGTGTCCGACGAAGGAATCGCCTCCAGGCGCAACACGTGACACGTCGAGAAACAAGAAAGGAAGGAAAAGGGGAGAAAGGAGATTCGAGAGAACGCGTCGAAATTCGTTGAATTCGCGGAGATACACCTCCAGGATGCATTACCGTCGCATTACCTTCCGTGCCAACAATGACACATATCACATTCAACGTTAATCGCGAGCCCGTTCCGCAAAACATCTGCGAGTCAATCGACCGTGATAAGAGCGAACGGTGACGTTCGTCTTTCCTGTACGGAGAGATTGAGAGACTCGTCGGAGTCGTTGGTGATTCATTAGCCGATGTCACGCGGCGCAACTCGCGGCGTGACTTTGCGAAAGAACGAGAGAGAGAGAGAGAGAGCGAGAGAGAGAGAGAGAGAGAGAGAGAGAGAAAGAGAGAGAGATCACTATTGTATTACACAGTTCCTCGCTTCAACCAATTCAATTATTTATAACTAACAGTAACAATTGTGAACACTGATCGTAATCACAGACGGAGCCTGTGATCCTAGCTATAAAGCGTGTAACCGCGAAAAACATGTGATTAACATATATAGTTTAAGGTGTAAAACCACACACACACAGGACTGACGGACTTTACTTATTATTTTAGGCGCCTAAACGTTTTTACGCGCGGCGAAAAACGAACGAGGGAGGAGGGAGGAGGGAACCGACTCGCGCACTCGGTGATTTTTGCCCTTTTTTTCTTCCTTTTTTTTTAGTTCGTTGAACTAACTCGAGAGGGGTTCGTGATGACACCCAGGAGAATGCTCAGATATATTCTTATTACGTACAGCCGGTGGACTCTGGTGCCCGTATCGACATACGCGCTGCCGACTGGAGGCTATTATTTTTATACATTTAATTACGTGCGTAAAATCGAGAGAAAGAGGAAAGATAGATAGATAGAGAGAGAGAGAGAGAGAGAGAGAGAGAGAGAGAGAGAGAGAGAGTGTGTGAAAGAGCGCGCGTAAACCGGCTGCGACGGTACGGCAGCCTCCCGACCGATGGTCAAAGCGCTATCATTGTATATTATACCTTTATCTAGTTTAGATATGTATGTATCGTTATTATGGAACTATATTATTTTACCGGTACACCGACACACACATTTGTACATAGACGACGTCGCGAATTATTTAAATAGCTCTAATGTAAATAAATTATCTGTAACGAATCTGCGATAATGTGATCCGATTAATAAAATGCAATTACTTCAAAGACACCCACGACCACGTCACCGGTCAACAGTCAGTCATTAATCCCGGTGTAATCTGTAAAAAGAAGATGTTACCCTGAGTAGGTTTTCGCAGAGATACTGATCAACTCCAGTGACAAGGATTGCGAGAGCCAGCTCGCGGTTGTAGCTGCGAGGTAATTTCGCTCGATAACGTTTAATTAACGGCACGTAAATAATCGTACAAGTGGAAGCGGAAGGTTTGCGATCGAAAGTTGCTTTTGAATATTTTCAGTCGTTGATTGGAATGATTCTACGATAGAAGTGTCTTAGTGTTCGCCCGATACGAGGTTGAAATTTGACGATCGTTTTTAAAATACGATGTAAGATCTCAGCGGAGATACGATTATTGAAGGTTTTTTCACCGAAGGAGGTACTTTTATTATTGCACGAAACAAATCGCACTGCAACGTTATCCAATGCGATACGAGATCTCTCGGCGTGAACTCTTATAAACGAAAATCGAGGCGGCTGAATCGGAATACGCTGAACTTTTTCGGTGAGACACGACAGCGCGTATGGATACGCTTGACCGATGATCAATAGAATTTTATATTAATCTCGGTACGGCCACACTTGGACAAGAAAATTCATGAGGTGCGTTCGAGGTTTCTATTGTGACGTCGGGAAAAAAATCTAAGCCAAGGCTCGAATCTCGTTTTTACTAGCCGATCAAGGACACACACCGGTCGCGGTGAATAGCACTTCCGGTTGAGAAGAATTACCGGAACGTGACAGTGATGAAGTTCGCCTGTCAACGTGTCATTCTTCCTCGCATATTTTATCGAGTTGTTCGCAGGAACTCGAGTCGTTTGTTTCGTGTTTCCAGTCATGCGACCGCAAACGTATGCACGAGGGTGATGTATTTCCTATTGTTTACGCAGTTGAAAATGCAAGACCACGAAGTATGCGCTTCGACGATCAATTGCTTCTTGAAGAAGACATAAAACGTCTACGAGAATTTTCGAGAATCCTCGTGCGACAAGAGCGAGCGCTCAGCGCGCGTCTTGGCTTGTCGTGATAATTAAGCAAGCATTTAATGGTCAGGCCGGAGATAATCGGCTGTAAATATACATTCGGCGCTTTCACGCACTCGCGTGTTTCGGACGCGGGACGATTTTTCGAGATAACATAGTAGCGACCAAGGCAACGTTACGCAATGATTCGCACGAGAAATTGCGCCTTCGGATGATCCGAGACATTGTTGTTGTACGATAAGAGCTACACATTCCGTAAAAATAATAACAGATTGCGCACAATGTGATGATGATGTGTTGTTAAATGACGTGCAATTATCAAGATTGATCAAAAGCTCAACGGAAGTTCCGCATTATTTCAGAAGAACGCGCGACTGTCACGTGCAAATGTGTCATTTACGTAAAAAAAACTCGCGTTTTCCTCGAACTTGCTTGAAAATGAAATATTTAGCCGAGGCATGCTTCATGTTTTTCCTTTCGCCTTTTTTACGCTTTCCAGAGAATGCGAGAAACTATCGAGACAGTGGGTTCGTGGCAACATCGTTGAAAAGGTAACAGTTAATACGAAGCCACTCGGGTGAGTCTGTAATCAAATGTGTATAAATACGATATATTATATATAGCTTGGATTCTCTGTAGCAAGAGGATATAAATCAAATTTGCATAAATTTTTCAAGTTTAATCCGTAAGTGGGCGCGTGACTTTTGAGGAATAAAACAACTGCTGTCCACAGCCGAGATTCTCGAGTGTTATTGACTCTACTTCGTCGGATCCGAGAGTGAGTAAATGGAGAGGTAAGTTAACTGAAAACGCCAATGTCGCAGACAAAAATGAAACGGAGAAAGATTCGTTTATTCATGCGTCTGTGGGTAAGTTTGACGCCCACGCGTCCACTAACGGGTTAAAAATTCATATACAAATAATTGTTTTTCGCTCCTTGACGTATAATATCTTCGGCTGGGTCTGCAAGTGTTAGACATATGTTTGTGAATATATTACGTGTACCGACAGACACTCATATTCCATCAATTCTCCTATATCTGTATTAACGGGAAGCGAAATTGTCTAAATTTTCCACAAATTCGAGCCTTTCTTCCACTAATGCCCGGAATGCGCAAGCAAATACCAGAGGACGCGGATAAGCGATGGTTGGAGGAAAGAAATTCGTTCTAACCTTTTCACCCCCTTTGAACAGTTTAGCGGGAAAGCGTTAGTGCCGTTTGAACGGAGCGAAACAGGTTAATAGGTGATTCATCGGTCGTGATCGGCCGACGAGCGTCGCCAGGAATCCGCGTGAGCGGTGCAGATCCGGATTCTTCTCGCATCGATCGAAGAGATCTAACGGTGGCGGAGCTCGCGGAGTCCCAGGCGCGGACTAAACGCGATATGATCGACAAGAGAGACGACGGACAAGGCCTTGTTACGTTAAGACGTTTCGCCGTATCTACGTTCTTCGTCGAATGACGATGACGCGATCTCCCAGGTCCCGGGGAAATCTTTCGGATGACGTCTAAGCTGAGATCCAGCGGGACGATCCCTTCGTCGATCGCCCGGCTGCACCTCTCACCTCGTGCGTCTCGTAACTTCCTTTCCCCTCCTACTATCGCCGATTGGAAGTTTCCTCGAAGTTTACGTCACGAAAATCACCGTAATAGCAACCTCTGCTTTTCTTTATTATACGAGAAGAAAGAATTAACTCCTACGGCTAAAAATTAACTATTCCAACTGAAAACCAGCTGCCCACTGCTGAAGACTAGCTCCCGCTAGTTAAAAACTAGATCTGGTAACTAAATTTCAGTTATATTGTATGGACAGCTAATACCTTTCTCCCATGCGGACTTTCACAGAAATATTTTACGGCAATCTCGAAGAAAAGGGGAAAAAAGAAGGAATATCAGAATTCAGCGTAAGAAACGTCACGATCTCATTCACTTTCATCAAAACAGTTCTGAGGGATTTATGTGAAAAATGCTTATCGGAACATTGTGAAATAAGTTTGATTAACGATTAGATACCGTCTTGGCTTCTGCACAATTGGCACCGGGGATATCTTGGATAAACAAACAGGAAGATCGCACTTATTATTGGCGGTAGAAATCGTTGCAGAGATTTCGTCGCGTTGGCACATCTACTAGAACACGCGATCAGCCTATTCGGCTGTACTCTTCCTGTCGCACGTGATTTACACGACGTCCATCGGCGTCTGTGGCGTCGATATATGCACTTTAATGACCGTTATCGTCTCGTACGTGATAACGCCGAAATAACGGGATAACGATAAGCGGGCAGATAACGGGTGACACCGACGGCTGGGCCGAAATCGTATGTTCGTAATCCGTTTCGAAATTCCTCGAATTTCAAAACAATAACAAAGCGAGGAATTAAGAACAATCTTCATTACTTTACTTTGTATACTTATTATATATATACTTATATGTTATCTTTTTAATCTTATATATTTTTTTTCATTTTAAAAGCTTCACGATGTGTACTGCTTTATTATGTGGAAAGGGATCTCCTGGCTTCTTTCTGAAAAGTCTTAAACAAACAAGAATTTGAGGAAAATCAGGCATCGGTAGCTTCAATTATATTCTGTGGCTTGATACTTCACCGCAAATTCAGGCATGTCGGCCGGAGAAGTTCATGTGTTATCAGATAAAATTTAGTACTTTACAACCGAGAAACATAGGTGTATCAATTTACCATGCCAGTTTTGGCGACTTTCTTCTACATCTTTCTCTCTCTCTCTCTCTCTCTCTCTCTCTCTCTAAATTCTTTTACTTAAATTAATAATTTTATTTTATTTTAAAAAATATATATTTTAAGTTAATTAATAAGTTAGATAAATTGCTTTCGTGAAAAGTTTCGAAATTAAGAGAAAAAATGCATACTTTTTCACTCGAAAACCCCCTTTTTCAGCGTAGAAACATGTATATCAGTACAATATGGTAAATACATCCATGAAATATAATAAGTGAATAAATATTTGTTTATTTCTGAAATATTTCTTCTCTTAATGCGCGTGTCCGTTCGCGTATGCGCTCCTTCGCGCACGGTGACTCGATTGTTTGCTGCCGATGAGGTAATGCATAAACATAGGAGGGAAAGGAAGGTCCAGAGCGCGCATCCGAGCGCAGGTTCTCTCTCAGGTATGCAGGTGCACTGCTCCCGGGTGTTACGCAGGCGCAACGCGCCTGCCCATGCTGGATTTCGCCAAAACGGCGAGGTTCTCTTACCGGAGGCGGCTCCGGAGAGGATTCGAAAGTACGCTCAGCGTGGCTACCAACGTGATCAACATGATCATTTGCTTCGTGCCGACTTTCAGGCCGACGTGATACATGCATAATATGCGCCGTAGCGCCGACATAGTCGTTCCAACAGGTAACGACATACCGCGACTTCTGCACCGGAAACCGGAACAATTAACACGTCCCGTGCCGGACTAATTTGACGTGACTTCTCACGTGACCGGTGGTTCGCGTTTTCTTCTTGCGAAGCAAATTTGATTTGTCGTATAACACGTGTCTCGTGATAATATTTTGCTTCGAAGCCGGAACATCAAACCGGTAACCTGTAAGCTTGTTCTGTAATTGTAACTTTTAATGCCGGCAATGTCGTTATCCTTATGTTGTCGTTACGTTCGCAGCTGCCACGTATTATATCTACGCAACGACAACGTAACGATAACGACGCTGTCGTTAAAAATTACAGAATAGGTCCACCGAACTGAATAAAATCTTCGGTGAACCTTCGTAAACCTTAACGGTGGCGCAAGTGGCATTGAACGGATTAAACGCCGGATGCGTCGTAGTATAGTGCCGATTACGATCTCCGATAAAATTCTCGTTACATCGATAAAATTCCATCGCTCAGAAATTTACCGTCCGATGTCTCGATCGAGAATAAAAATTGTGTAGAAACTGATGAAACAATTTGAAGTCCTGTAGATAATTAAAGTAATTTAGAGCTGAAGTTAATTAAAGTTCA